TGCTCAAGATGCTGAGAATCTGACAAGTGTCGTGTCATATGTGAAAGAGCAAGAAGACTTGGAAAATACTGAAACCAAACCGGAGGACTGTGATGAGAATGATGAGAGTAAATCAAATGTTAAAAGCGAGAGTGAGAGCAAAACGAACGTAAAAAAGGAGCATGAAGATGAAGCCAAAGCTGAAAGTAGTACGAAAGATGTTCAGAAGAAGGAAATTGGCAGTAAGCAGCCAAAGGAGGAACCAAGAACCAGTGACTCTGACGAAGTTCCACCTGCAAAACGCATTAGACTGGAGGAATCTGATGCAGACGCTGAAGAAGAAGGTGGTAAAGGTGGAGGAGGAGAAGCAGAACAAGATCTGGAACAAGAGAAAGACAGTCAAGACAATACCGATGAAAAGGCCAGTGTCACTGATGAAAATCAAGACCTCAAGAAGAAACGGTAAGTGTATTCAGAAATAAATTGTAAATTGATGAAACAAATACAGATTGAACATGTTATGTAATCTCTTTAGACGTCGTCGACGCAAGCGAAACCCATCGACATCGGCTACAAATAACGAAAGTGGCCTTGTTGGTCAAGCGATCGCCGTAGATGAGGTCAAACCGGCCGATGATCCAATCAAAGCATTGTCCACATTGCGAGTTGCAACTAAAGTCGAATGGAAACGATTACGTAACAAATACCTGATGCTTCAGCGTCAAAAGTATACAGAGGTGAAAAAATTGCTACAACAAAACAAGCACAGTGACAATCGAAAAGTATCAACGCTACCTTTGTCAACTGTACGACCGGTTACAATGAAAAACAAAAAGTACGCTTCACCGCCACCATCGAAGAAGATATGCACCCGAAACATCAATTTCTATGGCGCAATGCGTGATGAAAAGAACACTTACGAGTGCAGTATTATCGATGAAAACAAACCAAATGCCGATAAGACTGAGGAATCCGAAGCGAAAAATGAAAAGCAATTCGGGAAAGATCTCCAATTCGAATTTGAGCCGGGTCTCATTGTGAAGGTGAATTTTGACGAGCCATGTACTGACATTGCCGACTTCAAAGCAGAAATGAAACAGTATGCATTCGTTCGATATGTTGACATCAAGGAAGGTCAAACGTTTGCCTTTGTTCGAGTTGATACGCCACGTTCGGCTCCGGTTTTGATAAAGCATTGTGCGCCAAATCGCTGTCAAATTCTGACCGGAGAAAGTGAGACGGATTATTGGTCGAAAATTTCCAAGGATCGTGAGCAAAAATTGTCGAAGAAAGTCAAAGCGCCCAAGGCACGCAGTCGAAAAATGCGGAATATCATCAAAAATATTGCCGAGATCAATGTTGTCAAAGGACTTGATAACAAGACTACCGTTAATCACATTCGCTTCGATGATGATTGAGACATTTGTCGAGAAAAAAATAAAAAGACTCAGTTGAAATAATTTTATTGAGCGAATACTTTTTACCGAATAATATAATTTTAATGGTCAATAAAACAATCAATAAAATAAATTTTAAACAATTTT